AAACAATTGTGGACACTTTTTAAAATTGTTATGTTTTTTAAGTTTGCATGCTTATAGAAAATTTTACGTTGCACAAAATACAAAGTATTTTGTATCATTATAAAGACATTTTAATAGTAAATTCAATACAAAAAAGAAAATTCAAATATTTGCATTTCAAAAAAAGTTATGCTGCAATAACTATCGACACACATTAGATACTGATGATAGCAGTGAGTTATCAGAGCTTAGTGAGGTTGCCTTTATTCTTTATTACAGCTTCACATCGATGTTTCATTGAGCTGAAAATAGTTTTAAACTCTTTCTTTGTTATTATACGATGCCAGGAAACAATTATATTCTCAATTAGTTCCTTTTTATTTCATGGGTGCCTCATTCGGACAAGAGTTTTCAAACGATGCCACAAGTTTTTGTTAGGAATGAGGTCAGGACTGTTTCCTGGCCAGGATAACAATGATATTTAGTCAAAAAGCAATGACATCAAATAAAAGAGTAGATTGGACACAGTGTGATGTCCCCACCCCTTTGGGGATATCCTCTCTCCACTATCCACGAGACCTACGTCTGAGGGAATGAAAGATGAACCACTAAACTCTGCCATAATAAAACCAGTTTATTATGATCTTATTTTAAATACAATACAACAACAATACTAGTCTAGGAGGATAATGATCAAGAGTGATAAGACGCATTTGTAAAGAATTGCTTAAATAAGTTGAAAATATGAAATTTAAAAAGAAAATCAAAACGCATGGAACGCTTTGAAATTTTTAAATTTTCGTTAAAATTTTATTTTAAATTTCTTAAAAACTACTCATTTTTTTCTCACCAAATTTTTTATAAGGTTTTAATTTTAAGTTACATACACCCAGTAAAAATTTGGGGCATGTTTGTAAAAAATTGAAAAAAAAAAAAACTTTTACTGTCCACTGTAGCCTTAACCGATCAAGCCCAAACGATCGTCTTCGCGTGATGTTGGTACTAGTTCATATAGATATTAAACCGCCACAATGTTTTGTTATTCGAACAGAAAAAATAACTAGACTTCAAATATCAGACGTTAACCTACACTTCAGTCTCAAATATCGGTGTGGGACTTTATAACCTCATCTGTTATAAAGTCCAGTAGAATTTTTGGGGGTTTCGTGTGGGATGCAATTTTTAAGAGTTAATATAATAAATTGAGATCTAAAGTAATTGATCACACTTTTTTTTCCTCTCTGGTACACGTATACTTACCCCTGATCATAGTAGAGCTGTATCATCTCAACAAGAAATTCATTTTAGATGCTGAATATAGCCGCGGCTGAAAATAAAAGTGTATAGTGTCACCCCGATAACGGGAAAAAAATAAGTTCTCAAAGTAAAGGTTTTTTCCTCTTATAAGAAAGAATTACATGGAAAAGGAATCGTGGAGATTTCTTAACGTGAATTGTCGTCATGGTGTGAAACGGGAATTGCACAGAAGAGGAATCATTCTGTTTTCAAGATGTGAAATGCTACTCAAGAATTACCCAATTGAGATCTGTGAAGTTTCATTCCAACAGAAAACTTGCGAAAGGTTCAGAGTTCGTACATGCCTTCAGAAAAAATATTGTGAGCTATTTTCATGTTGTCAAGTATTTTCTATAAGTTCGAATGTATTTTTAGAAAAAGGTCATGTAGAGATAATTCAACTATTTAAAGTTGTTACAAGTACCTTAAAAAAAGTTATAATGTTTTGCTCTTTTTCTGCGTCTTGTGCCCACTACAACAGGACACAGGTTTTAGCGCTCTTGGTTTTAGTTCCAATCGCTATGACCATGCGGTTTTTAATTCTAACTTAAAAACTGACTAATATATTTAGTTCCATATTTTTTCTCTGCAGTATGTTCTTATTTTTTCTCTGTAACGAATATGAAAAAAATGAGTAAGGAGTAAAAAATAGGAGAATGCTTGTGCTTGAACAAGTATTCTCTTATTTTAATAGGTCTCTCGTTTTTTTAAGTAGAAATTCATTTTGCTAGTTCACTATTTTACGTTGGGTTTTATCCTTTCATCTAAACCACGCGAAATTTATTATCGAGTAATGTTCTTATGATATTGGTTTCAGGAAATCTAAATTTTGCTCTGTTGATGAAATTTCCTTTTATATTATTGCTAGCATTGCACTAAATATTTAAATATTAAGTGCGACGTTTTTTTACCAGAAGTGAAAAGGAAAATGTGTGCCATAAATTTCGACTTTATTTATAGTGAAAGTCATTTTACAGTATATGAACAATCTATAAAAGGTTTAATAATTTTTGTTCAGTAAATGAAAAGTTTTTGTTTCCAAGTGATTATGAATATTTTTTTAAAATCTTTATATTATCTTTGAATAGTAATTCCTTTTAAGATGTATAATTGAAAGTTAATAGGTTTTTTGTTGCTTTTTAAACACTTCGAGTGATTATATATTTTGCCACTAGTATAACAGCAACACATTTGTTTTAAATTGTAATTAGTGATCATCAATTTTGAATCCTGTTTTTTTAATCTTATAAGTGAAAAATGAGTTAACATACTTTTCGCATTTCTTGCCAAGGAATCTAGGTGATTTTATATTAGAAATAACTTGTATTCTCTCTCAATTTCATAGAATTGAAGTGATGCGTATTCTTTTTAGAACACTTAATTTTTATATAGCAATTTGATTTTCTTTCTAGAAAGAAATGTATTATTTTGTTGAAAGGAAAGAAAAAGGTCTTAATTAAATACGATAACAGAGTTAGGATCCTCATCATATTGGTTGAGGTGGGGATCATGCTGATCGTTTAGGTTCCCGGGGGTTCCGATCGCAGTAGTAATTGAGACGCCATTAAGTGGGGCACGAAATGATGACCAATAGGTATTCACAATAATTCATTAAGACGCTATTAAGTCGGACACGAAATGATGACCAACAGATATTCACAATAATTCACTTTTATTATTTAAGTGTTAGAAATAAGTACGCCTTATAAAGACAAGACAAACTAAATAATGCGTACTTATCTTTCATAAGAAGCAACTTCTGAATTCGAAAAAGAGAAATATCCTAATACATCCCAATTTAAAACTACATGGCTATAATTCCGGAGAATAATTCAGGAATAAGTCACTACTATTCAGTCAGTACTAACGTGGCAATATTGTTCACCTAATATCTACTCTCTATCTTACTCAATATTTATATCCTATTTAGTTGTGACATTCATTTGAGGTGTTGAGTTGTTCTAGCTCAAAGTGCCAATTTGGCTGGATGGTAATAAACCAAGTTAGAGAGGATAGAACTCGGGAATGGCCCATTGTTACAAGCTTAGAAGCAACAGCAGATATGATTGAGTGAATTTTAAAAGATTTAACCATCATAAGCGTAGGGGGCGACGAGGAAGGTACCAAATTTATTTTTGATTATAACGTTGAAGACTGTAAAGAACAAGAAGAAAAGAGACGACGAGATTACCTATAATTACCAATGATAAGAATTGAAGCTCAGCTTAAGTCGCATCAAGGGACATTGAGTGGTCATGGTCAAGAACTCGTGGATGTGTGTGTGTGTGATGAAAGTAAAGTATATTCCAGTTTACCAACCAGATAGTTATTTATCATTTGTAGAGAAACAAACGATCAACAAACTTATTGAAGAGTAGCTTAAACTATAAATCGTCAGACTAAGCTTATCTGAAAATGCTAGTCAAAGTATATTAGTGAAGAGGAAAAACGAAGATTTCAGACTTTGAGGCGACAACCGTCAATGAAAAATCTCAAGCTTGTCAAAGATACATTCCTTCAATCTTTGGTTGGTGATATCCTCGACAGACCGTGAAATTCAAAAGTATCTACAATTTTGCTTTTGAAGAATGGATTTTTCCATGTTGATGTTAATGAGTAAGGTCGAGTTTTCCCTTCTTTTATTATTATAAATGGATAAATTGAATTTAACTTGCGCCATTTGACTTAAATGCCAATTCCAGTCACGGTAAAATAAATTTCATTAACTAAATTCCTATTTTTACTACTTTTTGAACGAAAGACTTATTGAGTTGTTGCGATTCTTCTGAAAATGTGAGAAAGCAATAAAGGTAAGTAAAGAAAAAAATAAACAAAAAAAAAATATACATTTTATAATAATAAAAAGCGATGCATCAACTGGAATGCATAAAACCGGTGAATGCGATACATCTATTGAAAACGAAACTCTAACAGTATCATGGGAATTAAAGGTTTTATCAAAGAAAAATAGATACAAGAGAACAAAAAAATCAATCATCCGCATTGTTATATGATGCAAGTTACTATCCAACTGGGCATTGAGTCGTACAGTTGACGGATATCTTCCAACCAGATAGCTTGTCATACATGATTCAATTGGCCAATTTGATTGGTGAAATCCAGGGATGGGTAGAGAAGACTGGTTATTGGAGCATGCTCTATAGGGATATATCTGGCGATAAGGAAACTGAAAAGACAAGCAGTAGAAAGGCGTGCCGTGTGCGACCTGGCATTATTCTATTAAAATTTAAGCTCATGAGTCCATTAAAGTAAGAGCTACACTAGAGAGTATCATAATGGTGCAAATGTGCTCCGTTGCAATGTGCTGGAGCTCCAGTTATTTAATCATTGGCTGTCCAAAGTAAATTACTTGTATATGCTTCTGTAAAGTATATGCATACGTAATTATATCCCACTCAAATATTTCCCTTTTGGTGCATAGCTCTCTTCTTAAATTCCTACTATTAGTTCCCACTCTCCCTATATATATATATTGAAAATTTAATTTGAACAAGATATATATATATATATATATATATATATATATATATATATATCTTGTTCAAATTTTCAATCGTTAATAAAATACTTTCTATTCACATCCATTCAAGTTCAAATTCATTTTTTCAAATATTAATTTATTAATTAAATTAAAAAAATGAACAAATAGCAACAAACAAAACAATTGTCCGACAGCATATATAGAAAGGAAAACCGTTCGTTGTTTCCCTGCAGCGCAATGGGTAGCGCGTTGGATTTCTAATCCAAAGGTCGTGGGCTCTATTCGCACCGGGGATGGCCTAATTGCTGAGAATGGGATTTCTTTTTTACTATACTATTTTAATAGAATAATTAAATTTAATTAATAAATAAACAGTAACAAAAAAAAAGCTAGCACCTTATATAGAAGGGAAAATGGAAAAGTGCGAGAAAAATAGCTTTCTATTTTGTTTCTTAGTATTGTGATTCTGTCATATGTATAGACATATTTAGATTATATAATTGTAATTATTTACTAAAAAGTAACTAAAATAAAAATTTTCTTCGTTGACTTAAGTAGAAATTGACTTAAATTTCTTTATACTCCTTGTTATGTTATTAGGAGTACATAGTTGAAAATTAAAGTAAAGTTAAGAAAAAAATTACAAAACTTAAATATAAAGAAGACTATATTACTTGTAACGTTTCAGAAAAGCTTTGATTCATTCCTTTCACAGGAAAAAAGACATTAAAAAATTCTTGTAAA